CCTGCTGAAAAAACTCAATGGCAAACACCTCGTCTTAGCTCATTTTGGTTAGCTAGAAAAAAAAAGACGCTGCCGGTCCCCTCACAGCGTTTGCAAACGTCGTGGCACGGGAATAATCCGGTCGTACGCGCCCGAAACGGTTCGCGACTCCTATTGGTTATGAGAACGAGCTGCCGACGCCGACGCCGACGCCGACGCCGACGCCGACTCCGACACTGGGGACCTTGACACGTTTTAGGGGCTGAGCTGCGCATATACATACCGGGAAGCGGGAAAGGGATCCTGAGGCGGTGAAACCGGGTCACTGAGTGCAAGGACAAAACGAGTTCAGGTTACTGGGACTCCAATCCATGAGACGAGCGTATAGTTCAGGGTCGTGACATACGCGCGCACGCATACGAAAGCTCTCACTTTTTCTTTCCTTTCTCACTCCCTCACCAACACACAATATATATGTACTTATCTATCTGTCTATCCATCTGCCTCGCTCTCTCTCTGTATCTCTCTGTCTGTCTTCCTGTATATACGTATACATACATATATATATATATATATATATATATATATATATACATATCTCTTACCGGCTACTCATTCTTTCCAACTTGAGAATATCAGATTCAATGCGACGCTTTTTTCTACATCTTCTGTTCTATTCAATTTCCAGGAGAAATTAGTTTTTTCCTTTCCTTGCTTCACTCCAAGATAAAGCTTTCTTTCTTACATTTCTATGCCCCTGTCATATACCAGTGGATATGAGAAATATAGTTTATGCTTTTCTATATTTCATTGATAATTGTTAGATATTTCGTGTATCTTTAACAGAATTATTTATTTCACATGGAGAAAAAAGGCAAAGTTTTACATAACATTTTATGCTATTTTATAAGAAAATTATTAAGAAGGAATTTCTTATCGATAGAGTAATAATTTAAAAAAAAAGAAAAATGTGTCATATATAAGTCGATTGTGATGAAAAGATCTTTCTCTACTTTTGTATTTGAAATTACTATTAATATATGTAAAAGATTTAGATAAAAATACTGGACACCTTTTTTACTTATATGTTTATGAAGAAAATTAAATATAAGTCATAATGATATAAACATATAATGATCAATTAAATATTAAAAGAATTTCTTTAACAATTACATATCGCATGTAAAATAGTGTTAGTTAAAAATTTTATCCCATTAATTTATATACGTACAGTGCAGTGCTTAATTGTAGAATATCAACAAATTAATAAATTTTACAAATAGCTTATTTTATTATCTGAATTTTGTTGAATTTACTGATAAATTTAATAATAAAAAAACAGCTTACAGTAATTTATATTATTTATCATTATTCACTAAACATTAGACTTTATTCCAAAAGAATTATTATAAAACATTTACAAAATATAATTATATTCTCTTTTTTATATAAAACTATCAAGTAGATCATTCAAATTATTCAACTTATCCCAATCAATAACATATAATGACTCAATGAAGTTGTAATTTAATAACAGGATCATTATTATATAAAGTACAAATTAGTGCAAACATTTACAACAAACAAACTTACAGCCCTTAAAATTTATACTATAACAATACTATAAATATTCATGAATACTACCAAATATGTCAACATAACATAACATTTTAATCAAATTTTCTACTTATACACTTATGAATAAAGTACTCATAAATATCTATTATTCTATTATAATTTTACGGTAAAATAACTAAAGTCAGACATCTGATCACACATTAAGTCTCACAACTGAGACGACTTTGCAATGACATTCTTGATCGCGTACCATGCATTGTTTATAATTAAAGATGAGTGGAAGATATTAAAATGCTAGAAAACATCGATTCTCAAGATTCGCTTTTATTGTTTCCGCAACTGCTGCCCCATTTCTCGCACTACCTTCATTTACCGAACTTTAAAAAAACGATGAACCACAGCAAACATAAAAATAGCATAGATTTAAATAGCCATGCCCGAAGCGTGAATATGATTTACTTGTAAAGGATTTTTGAATAATCGCAAGCTGAAACGCGAAAAGTAGGGAAAAGCACAAAACCAATTGCCCTAAACAATAAGAAAAATAATATGTGTGCATGTGCTCGATATCGAGTGGGTGAACAACTTCTTCGATAAACATAAAAAGCACATTTTGAGTTAATCGGAAAAAAATATAACATTATGTAAATTATCATAATACAGGTTTATTGATTCATTCCAGGTCTTTCAAAAAATTCAAATAAAAAGACATGCGTTCCTCGGATTTATTTTTTCAAAAAAAGTCTTACACGATAACAGTATTTTTAAAAACGAGTTACTTTCAGTTAAGCACAACATGCTATTAATAAATCGATTTTTAAAACTTGATAAATAATGTAAATAATTCGAAGGAAAAATACACAATATCTATATAATAAATGTTGTTTTAATAAATAATGTAATAATAATAATATACCGATTCTATACAACGTAGCATTAGATTCACATATTTAGTTAATATTAATTACATAAAGTTCTTTTCAATTTGTCAAAATTAACTGTATTTATTAATTTAGTATGGCAATAAAACTTTACGGTTTCTAATTTATTATCGCTAATTTTAAATCAATATTTTATAATAATTATTATGTTTTTCTTTATAATATTTTTGTATACATCAAAAAATATCAACAATTCCGTTATATTATTTATTTATATTAAAATTATATTATTTATATTTATATAATTTATATTATTTATATTAAAATATTAACATTTACGTTATATAAAAACAATAAATTTTAATATATTATTAATTTTGTTAAATTTATTTTATTTTATTTAATTCTTAAAGTAAAATTATATGTTTTTTTTTCACAATCTTAAATGAAATCTTATTTATTCTATAAAACTTCAATACTTTTACAAACTAAGCATATAATAAATTTCTTTGTTTTAATTAATGTAAGAATTATTCCCTTATTGATCCTTTAATTTATTCAAACTAAATTATTTCATTAAGTTTGAAAAAATGTATAATCGCTCTAATACATTCACAGTTCTACTCCAAATTAAGATATTAACTTAATATAATTTTTTTTTTAATTTATAAGTTATTATTTTAAATATTTCCAAAGAATGAAAAACTTAAATATCGCTAACTTAGATTTGAAAATCTTTTTATTAAGATTCCATTTATGCTATTATAATTATTATTATATTTTTATAAAAGTAAATATTCAATATGTTTTAATTAAAAATTGAGTATATTCATAAGTTATAGAGTAGTTTATAATTTTTAGATTCCGCATGATCATTTGACATATAATTATTCATGAAAAATACATATCAGTGCGATTTAATGCAGATATACTGTTTTCATCTACATACTGTATCATCTAGATATAAATATACATTTAAATTATGCATTATGATCATTGGTATTAATATTGTCTCCTAATAAATTTTCAGAAAATAATGTTTAAGTAAATGTAAAAGTGGAACGTGTAATATATAAAAAGTGTTAACTGTTTCGTATAATTTAGTTCGTTTTCAGCTGATATTGATGAATATCAGTAATAAATACTTAAACCGAGACATTAAATTTATTTTCTACTATTCGTTCAATAAATAAACGTATATGCATTTTACAATAATATCGACTTTAAATTTTGACAAAAGAACATTGTAAGAATCTATATATATTTAACTATGTCACCCATATATTTAATATTCTGATATTCCTTAAATATATAAAAATAAATAAATCAGAGTTAATTCAAATTATTAAAATACATTCCATAAAATAGAGAGCTATTTTTATAAAAAGTTATGATCCTTACGAATTATATATTCCCTTATAATATGTTAACAATAAATTTAATTTCCATAAATCTCCTTTTGAAATAAGATTGGTAAATATGAATTTAATTTTCAATGATTTATAATCCATAAGATTTTATACAATTTGTAAAAGATATTTTACATGAAAAAAAAATTTGAAATTCCAAAAACGTAATAATTAAATAATTAAAAATTAAAAAAAAGACTTAATTAAGTTATGCAAATTCATAATCCATGAATTATCTTCAAGTAAAAATGAGCTCTTTAAGTCATAATCGACATAAATATTTAAGTAGTTAAAATTTCTCCCTTAGCATTTAAATTTATTCATTTTCTAATTTTTGCAACGTTCGCGCAGATTTAACTTAAAGTCTTTTAACATATAGATTGCTATAATTAAGTGTATTTAAAAGTTTTAATAATGATTATGCAAATAGAAATTCAAATGCATATTTATTAGTAATGAAATTGTGAAAATATTTTATTTAAATGCTTTTAGAATAATTATTGTAACTATTACTGACTACTAAGATATATTGAAATAAATTTGTTTTGAAATTTTAAATAAATTTATACTAATTAAAAATATTCGTCATTCATACTATAACAATTTTTTCACAATGAATAATATATAATGGAAATTTCATTTAAATAATTAATATATGTCATTCGCTAGTATTGACAAAATAATTGTAAAAATAGTAGTTTATTTAAAAAAATAATATTCACATTAAATGATATTGAAATAGAATAGATTTATTATACATAAAGTAGAACCTTATATTTATTAAAATATCCTTTGCACAAGAAATATCAATTTTATTTATTATATAAGAGTAATTATATATATTAAAAAAAAAATACTTTTGGAATACCATGTTAATTTAATTTTATTAATTTATTAGAAATATGAAAATCTTACGTATATTATTTGCGAGATTTATTTTGACTCAAAATTAATGATAATTTTATCTTTTTTTATAGAATGTTATGTTATGTTGTATACATCATGCGAAATATAAAAAATTTAAATAATAAATAGTAATGTCAAATTTTCTGCTTTCGAAATGGAAATAATATGCCATAAGCACTGTAGAATAATCTGATATATCTGACAAATATCACAATAATGTGACGATACATTCAATGGAACATTATACTTGTATCATATATCTGAATAATTACTATTATTAAACAAGTTATATTAAGAAAAATTGCAATTCACTTAGAGCAAGTCAATAAAATGTCTTAGTTTACAGAATAATATATTTACAACCAGACATGAAACTCGATAATTCAATATACATTGTGATAGTGTAAAAATAATAAATTATTAAGGAAATGAATTAGTTATGTAATATTCAATGTAGTAATTTTCATGCAATCCAATACTAATAACATCAGTGTATTTTATTTGTTAAGAATTTTTTAAGCATAATTATAGTTATGTTTTAATGATATTTATAAATATGTATTAAAACATATACTATATATTCTATTGATATACTACAATAATGCTCAACTATTTATATAAAGACTAAAAATACTAATTATTTTATAAAAAATGTTACGTCAATGTGAAAAAAGTAGAAATAAAATTTTTCCAAAAATCATATATATATTGTTTTATAAATATATATGTTTTTAAATTTAGATTTAAAGAGAAAAGCCTACCGATATACTTATTTCATTATAATTTTTAAAATATATTAGGAATATTTCTGCATGTTTAATATATCGCCTATATTCTTATTTGATGACAAATACGTTATTTACATATAAATATTGATATATAGTAATAATTTCTATTGTTATCTAATATTACATATAATAATGTATGCAAGATTAAAAAATATTTTGTGAACTTACTTATGTCAAATCTACTCGCTCATGCTGAATTGAATTATTCTGAGAACTTTCAATGCTCATCAGAAATTTATAATAAATAGCTTCATCCACATATATTGTAAATAAATTAATCATTGAATATAGCTTTCCATGGACCTTGAAAATTTTCAATAACCGAATTGCATTGAATTTTAAATCATAATTATTATCTCATAGCGAATAAGTAGGTCATATTCTCAAATAAATAAAGACGGGAAATTTAGATATGAAATAGTAAGTTTTACTCAGCCATTACACATGATCTCGAACTTGTGTGATTGGAAGCTTCGGATAAAGCTTCGGATTTACCTATTATTTTAAAATCTGCGATCGGTAAATCATTCGAGATGTGGTATACCACGTCCCCGTCAATCGATCTCACCGATATTTTTGAATAACCTACATTTTTGACTCCACTAAGCTTTCTCAGAGAGTCCACGAGGAATATCTTAAAGTAACTGGAGCAAGGTCAACCTCAAGCAAAGCGACTCGCTTTTTGACAGATGCATCGTTTCGGTCGCGCTAAGGCATCGAGAAATTTCGCGGATTGACGCTACCGGGGCTAAATATCGAGCTTTACGACTTATGCGATTAATGCTTCAAGTTTTCACGTTGTTCATTGAAGGAATAAAAATTGTGATCTCCCCCTCCCCCAAAGAATAAGAAGCATTTTAATTTCTCATTTGTTATTTACATTTAATTTATAGAAGCGAAATTACTCGTAGTAAACAATACTTTTACTTATGACTATTTTACGTGTTTATTAATAATTAATGGCCACGAGTACAGTAATGAATAATTAAATTATAATTATATTAAATATATACGGTCATACGGTTAACAATGTTAAATTTATTCGCATTATTGCATTACAGTATATGTTTTCTAGTATCACAGTATTCAACAGTATTAGCAGTATTAAATATCATTAACTTAGTAAACGGTAATTTAGCTATTAATAGTCAAAGTATATTATTCCTTGGAAATAAATATATTAGGCTTTCATTCATATTGATTACCAGACCATTTTAGAAACGCACTAGAAATTTAAGTAATCAATTGACCCAATTATAAATTATAAAATACAATAAATAATCAATTGTTGTATTGAAATTTTGTAACTTGTCTAGTTAAATTCATATCAAATGGCAAATTGCTTCACCGAGGTAAGATCATACTTATACTATATTATTAACTTATCAATCATTCGCCATACATTTTATATTTTATACTTAAGAGCACTTAATGCCATCTTTAGGTTGAATATTATTATACAGGATTTGTGACAAAAGTCACTTTATCGTTGCCAATAAGCGATCAAAAAGTTAAAAAAAAAGCTGTAAATGCAGAAAAAATATACAACTTGGAGATGGCATAATGAGCAAATATTTTAAATACATTGATAAATGCCCGTATCGAATAATCGATATTTATGCAAAATAAAAAATGTCTATATAGGGATTGAAAAGTGAAGGGATTTTATAAGTCCTTTGACATAATTTTCAGCGGCTCGTGTTACGAGGGCCAATGGCAGAATGGCAAACGACACGGTCTCGGCATGGAGACGAGGGGTCGTTGGTTATACCGGGGTGAGTGGACGCAGGGCTTCAAAGGTCGCTACGGGGTAAGACAATCGACGACATCCACCGCGAAATACGAGGGAACGTGGTCGAGTGGCCTCCAGGATGGCTACGGGTCCGAAACATACGCCGACAGTGGTCAGTATTATCTGGATATTTTTATTTTTTTTGCCTACGACTGCATCGACGGTTATTCGACACCGACACCAGCGATTTCGGCTACTTTCCATAGACAAACCAATTCCTCGTGCATTAATTCAATTCACTTTAATGATTGATCTGGTGTTAATAAGCAGCATAATGAGATTGTGCATCGAATTGGTAAAAAATGTTATAATGTTCGGTACATTATAATTCTTTTTTTTCTTTTCTTTTCTTTTTTTTTTTTTTTTTTTTTTTTTTTTTCATTATTGCTCGTTTTTATAAAATAATTTTGAATGTATATATAATGGGTATGTACATTGGCGAGAGAGAATATCGCTAAACTTTCACGAATACTTGAAAGAACATCGCGGAATTCCCCTGCGCGAATGAAGGAGTAAGAGCCGAGCCATACATTGATTAAAAGCGAGTGCTATGTAAATAAATCGTATGGGGTTGGTTAAGGCTCGTGATTTATATGTGTATGTGACTTGGATCTGAATAAATAAACGACATATTTAATTCTGACATAGACGTGCGTGCAAGCATTCGTACAAGTTTGATGTTTCTTTACACGAATCACAAGAGGAATGCGTCGATATTACTATCCGATTGAATTTACGATTGAGTTTACGATTGAATATAAATTATAAATTTTTCTGATAAAATAATTATTCCATTAATTATTATCTATTCATTTCATTATTTCAATACAATTTATTTATTTATAAATTATTCAAAATTATAAGTAATTATATTTTTACATCTTTTTGTAATTATTTATAATATTATAGTTATACGCATAAAATGCATAAAATAGTAAATCAATGAATAGATTTGTTGTATGTAAAGATAAAAAAAAAAGTAATAATAACAGTTTAATTAACGGTAGAAAGAAGTACGGAAAATTAAAATTAAAATAAGCATATTTTTTCCGTAGTAGTTGATAACCTTTCTTTTCCAAAGAAAAAAGATAAAGAAAGAAATAGTTCGGTGTTGCTATACGAAGCCTGGCTAATTGGCTTATCAATGCTCATTTGACCAACAGATACAAAAATTTACAAAACTACAAAGCCATAATATTTGCAATTATCATTATCAGTCATTCATCAACAAAAGTAAGAATATATTTATTTCACTCATTTCTGTAAAAAGACAATCGTCACTACACGTGCTAAATCCCGGCAATGAATATTGCTTTTATTTATAAATATCAATGTACCGGCTGCGAACAGAGCTCTTTAAACACTCGAAACGGCGATCAAAGCTATCAAGTGAAAAGATCAATTCAATCTAACTCTCAAATTAAAAATTCTGCTGTGATCATGAATAATGAAGCATAAAATCTGTAAGCATCGAATATACCAATGGAATTTTCATGCACAGTTGCTTGTGGTAGCCTTTGTGATACAAAAAATTTTTATTTTCTGATGTTATAGAATGTAGATGAAAATAGATTAAAAGGATAATGGAAGGATAATTCAAAAGAATTTAATCGATTAATTACCCAACACAACAAAAAGCCTGAAAAATAGTTTTTCCATACTTTTATGAATTATGCATATTTTAAGATAATTAAAATAGTTTTGAACATATATAAACATTTTAATTGTACTATAAATAAATGGTTCTTATCCGTATTTTATAAGACTTTAAAATTTATTTCTAATTTTGATAGATTATCTCACTGCTCACTAACAGTCTTATCTTGTAACTAAATCTCTAAGTGTAATATAAATATATGTGTGTGTGTGTGTGTGTGTGTGTGTGTGTGTGTGTGTATGTATGTATATGGATTGAGCATAAATATTAGAGAAAATTGTTTGATCGAATTTAACTTTTTCCCAATGTAATGGGACTACAATTTTGAAATATTATCATTTATCATGAAAGCAAAAATTGATTTTTAAAATTGAAAATATTACTGTATCGCTTATTTATATGGATAGTTTATATGGATTTTAAACATAAATCTGCAAATATATATCTTGGAATTAGAAAAGCTAATATCACTAATTTTAAAAATGAATAATGATTGAAATTATTAAAAATTGCTGAATAATGGCGACCAATTACCTCACAAATTAATATTGAGAATTTTAGTCGGAATGATGATCAAAATCATGTCAAATACAAATACATCGGATTTTTTCGTATATCCCAAATAAAACTCAGATCAAACAATTCGCAGGTCATCGGCTGCAGACGTCGCGGCGCCCTTTCAATCTCAATGCGCCTGCGCACATGTAAAATAGCTCAAACTTTCTCACCACTGCAATTTTATTATTGCATCTATTTCTGATTGCCTCTGTCTATATGTACGCGACCAAAAATTGTAAATTTCCATTATAGATATCTTGTAGATCTTGATAAAAACATTTATGCGTCTGCTTTCAACGAGTTTCAGTTTGAAAATGGAATTAGGGATTATCGCTCTACTCTTTCACTATTTATTTATTCTTTTCCTTATACTTACACTAAAGATCACTGTATTATTTTACTTTCATCCCGTTTTATGTTGATTTATATTTTGCTATTTATTTTGTTCTAGATTTATCACTTCCTTAAAGTATATTAATATATAAGTGTCTACTAGTTGTTTATAATGTTTTAAATCTGATTTAATATTACATTTATTTCATATTAATTTTTTACTTTTATTCTCATTAAGTTTAATAAATTATTAATAGGGAAAATATCGTTAAAATTTATTAAGTATAGATAATTCATCACATTTTTTACTTTATTAAGCAATAAATATATATATACGTAAATTTAAAGAATATAGTAATTCTAATTATTTTTATAGTATTTAATAACGTTGGCTTTGTCAAAAGTTCAGTACCGTAATAGAGCAAAGCAGGCGAAGGGCATATTTCACAGTCACCTTTTATAACTATTATAACTACTTTAGCTAGCTGATCCCCTCCCCTCCCGCTAAACGAATGCCAAAGGCGTTCAACTCCTTGACGTTTGCGAATAAATCGAATAAATTCTGCCAAGCTACAGCTGGACCTCTTGCCCATATTTCGAATTCGAAGGCATCCCTCAGTTAAGAGGAGATCGAACCCTTTGTTAAGATTCGCCACCAGATAAGAGAGTCGCTAGTTCTAAGCGCCCGTTACCGAAATACCCACGCGTGTCTAATGCCCAACAACGTCGACGCCAACATCCGCGGCTTCGATTTTCACACACGCAGATACATATACGCGTGCACTTATACACTGAGCCAACAGCCTCTTTGGTCGTGCTATTTCAGGCGGACCCGAGGCTGGGGAAGGCAGACCCCCGGAATTCACGCTGAGCCTGCTTGGGTGCGCGAATCGAAGCTGATTAGATTTCCCGGTACTGCGAACGCTGTGCGTGTACATACGTGCGTGCACGCATGATTGATATAGAGAAAGAGAATAAGAGAGCGAGAGAGAGAGAGAGAGAGAGAGAGAGAGAGAGAAGAAAGCAGATACGACTAATCTGGAAGCAAACGCCAGGGCGGTGTGAAAAAGACCAGGAATTATTACAACTGTTGTGGGCGAAACGATGTTTTTACAAAGATCCGATTTCTAGACTTAAATTCTTGGAGGATTAGCCAAAAATCTCCAAGAGTCTTATATAAATTAAAGCACACTCTACTCTCTTGTCCTTCTTTAGATCAGCGCGTATACTTGTCACTTATTCTAGCACAGTTTATCCTATTTAATAATTTTACAGTAAAGTATAATCAATTAATTAATTATTTTCTTTCTATTAAAAATAACATTCTCAATGAAATCTATAATTTTGTACAATTCTTTTATAATACAATTTTTTATCGCAAAAGTGAATTTTAATTTATTTAGTTTTTTTTTTTTCTTAATTTACGTATAAAATTTTCGGTAAAACTATTTATAAACTTTAATATTTATGAAGTAAAAATTGGTTATAAATTGTAAGATTATCTTAATTTTTTAGGTATATATCATTAATTCAAGTATATCATTTTATAGAAAAAGTTTATGTCATAACGCTCGGAGACATTTCTTTACAAATTATAAATAATATCGAATAACAGAATCAGAATTCATAATACTGCTTAAATATTGTTGTATACGTTCATGGTATTATTTATTTGCTTATCATTGTTATTATATAAACACAATATGTACACTCAGAATTTATATAAAATTTTATTAAATGCATTTGATGCGTTTATTTTTGTATCATATTGAATTTCAGGTATTATCTACCACCAAGATTTAACAAATTTTTCGTTGCCAATCATCCATTTAAAATCATAACAACTGACACATTTAAAATCGTGTCATTTTTCGCCAAATGTCGAATATGTAATTTCTTCGTTAATTAGAGAATGCTGACGTATTTTATAATAAAGTCATAAATTGCCCTGAATGATTTCATTTATTTCATATTAATATTAACCACTTTTTAATGATATTCAATTTTATTAACAAATTTATTAATTATTCATAATATTTATATTTTTATTTTAGATAATAGTATTTGATATTTATAATTATGTTCATTCATTATGTAAATGAATTTTTAAGTATATATTCAAAAATAAAATAATTTACATTAACCTTTAAATATTTCGAATGTATGTGAAGTCCGTCATTATTAAACTAAAATATTATGATTCATGATAGATAATTGGTTATAATATATCAAAAAAAAAAAAAAAAAAAAAAAAAAAAAAAATTTAATTATTAATCAGTTACAAGAAAACATATAAACAATAAAACATAAAATTTTAATAAATTAATATTTTTTCGATATGGATTGTAACAAAATATTAAATGATAAATGTTAAGTCGAGTTTAAACATACAATATCAAAAAACACGGAGATCAAGGACCGATATAATTCCTTTGTAACATTATATACTTTATGTAAACAAAAAATAATACATTTCAAAATATAATTAATAATAATATAATATCGTATAACTAATATTTTTTAATTAATGACTAAAGTGTTTTACTCAACTTTTAGGATACGGA